TTTGTTGAGTTTGATCTTCTCCTGGTTCTCTTTGATCTTCTCCTTGACAGATTCTAACTCTAGATTCGTTCTCTACAACTCTTCCTTCGGTAATCAAAGAACATAAAGATAAAATCAGCAAGGAAAAAAACCCTTAAATCCCTGGAAACCAAAACCAGGAGGTAATCAGAAAACTTCCCCACTTTGAGGACTTGAATTTCGTTGTCGAAAAGACGAGATGCCCTAACGATGTCGTCCAACGACATGGAAGCTAGTTGGTCATCTTCGAAACCGCTGTCTTCGACCATTGCGACAACCATTGAGAAAATAGACGATAGAAGGGAGGCCTCGAGGTTGCAGAGAGAAAGAGAGGAGTCCAAACTTCCAAAGAGTTGAAGTGCTGATAACAGGAGTGGGGGTTCAATACAGAGGCGGCGCTTCCAGTGGCGACGCTCAGCAGCAGCCTCCTCCACTGAGGAGTAGGCGAATGAGCGAACAGAGAGGAGGTTATGGTTGGGATGCTGGAGGAGGATGTGGTGATGATCGGCGGTGGTGGAAGTGCAGATAATAGGAAGAAGATGGTTATCGACTTTTTGCTCTGACAAAGCCCGAGTAATTTTCTTAGCGTTTTCTTCTCACCGGGGTCGCACTGTTTTGGTGCGACCCCGCTCACTTAATTTTGTGATCCCGCATCCCTCTTGTTTCTCATCCCAATACACTGTTTACCAGTAAACAAACACAAGAAAGGAAGAATAATTCGGGAATATTCCCTTTTCTTATCCCTTTCTCAGCAATCAAACAGACCCTTAAAGTCCTTAAGGAACTTTTATTGAAGGGAGACAGATCATTAATCAAGTCTTGGTGGTAAATGAGTGTGTGGCAGGGAAGAGATTGAGGAGGGAAAAAGGGTTTAGTTTGCAAATTGGATTTAGAGAAGGCTTATGATCTAGTGGATTGGTCTTTTCTCCTAGAAATCCTAGAAAGAATTGGGTTAGGTGACAAGTGGAGGAAGTGGATTAAAGGATGCTTAAATTCTATGCACTATTCTATCTTAATAAATGGGGTGACTAGAGATTTCTTTCTAGCTAAACAAAGATTGAGATAGGGAGATCCCTTATCCCCTTTTCTATTCACCCTAGTAGTAGATGTCCTAAGCAGGATGATTGTCAAAGTTGATCAGGATAGGTTACTCATTACTGAGAGGTTGGAGGGTAGGTAGAAACGAGGTGATAATCAGTCATTTGTAGTTTGCAGACGACATAATTTTGCTATGTGAAGGAGGTAATCAAAACAATTTGATGAATTTAATGGAACTCATAACAACTTTTGAGTTTGTATCTAATCAGAGGGTGAATATGGGGAAGAGTTGTGTAGCAGGGGTAAATATGGAGGAGGAAGAATTAAGATGCTTGGTAGAGATTCTAGGGTGTGATGCGAGGAACTAGCCCTTGGACTATCTTGGTCTTCTGTTATGAGGAAACCCAAGGTCAGAGGTTTTTTTTTGGAAACCGGTAGTAGAGATATTCACTAAAAGACTAGCACTACTGAAAAGGAATTACACTTCACTAGGAGGAAGGATAACTTTGATTAGGGCAACTTTAGCTAACCTTCCTATCTATTACCTCTCCACTTTCAGGATTCTAGCCAGAGTTGTGTGTCAACTAGAAAAGATCATGAGAGAGTTCCTTTGGGAACTAGGGTATGAGAAGAGAGACCATTTGGTGAAGTGGGAGCAAGTTAGCAAACCGAAAGAGCAAGTGGACTTGGAATAGGAAACCTAATTTGTAAGAGTACAACACTACCAAGGAAATGGTTGGTTATGAAGATTTCCTTTAGAGAGAGACAGTCTTTGGCATAAGGTAATTGCAAGAATTCACGGGACATTGAATAATGGATGGGATGCAAAGGTAGCTTTTTCCTCGATGGCTCTTTTTCCTTGGAAATCAATATAGGTAGTATATCCAACTTTCATTAATTTCACTAGATTTGATGTGGGATGTGGGACCCAAGTATTATTCTGGGAAGACCTTTCATTAATTTCCCTAGCCTATTCTCATTGTCCAACTATAAACAACAGCCTATGTTGAGGTTTGTCACTTTTTCTCCTTTAGGGGTAAGTTGGGATTTTGGCTTTAGAAGGGGACTGTGGGATGGTGAATGTGGGGCACTTATCCAATTGTTGGACAAACTTCATTTAACCTTTTTGGATCAGTTAGTGGAGGACACGAGTGTGGTCTTGTACTCCCAATGGGGGGTTCTTTCCTCGATGCTCTTTTACAGTCCAACCTGTGATTTAAAAGGCGCTCCTCAGGCGCGCCTAGGTGCACAGGCGAGGCGCATTTTGGGGTATGCGCCTCGCCCAAGTCCTAGGCGCACCCCTTTCAAAAGGCGCACGCCTGGTGCACCTGATGCGCCTTGCGCCTCATACCAAGCGAGGTGCCTGCTCCGGTTCGCTCGCTTTTTTCGCTCACTGAAGCTCTGAGAACCCCCTATTGCTAATGTTGTTCATTTGTTCATTCCAATAAAATATCTTCTTAAAAGGCAATTAAAGTTATAAAATTATTATTTTTCATGTGAGAAATAAGAATATCAAACCCTAACATAGACTTGTTTGGGCTTGCCTCGAGGGGTGTGGTACAAAGGTGACTCATAAATCAAGAATGCAATATGTTTTACATCACATTAGCTACTTGAAGCAATGCAATTAAGGGAAAAAAGAGATTGTGGGCTTTACATTCTTGAAAATGCTTTATATGTTTGCTTTTATTTTTAATTTTTTATTTGAATACGCTTTACATGTTATGTTTATGTATTTTAATTTTAGATAATTGGTTTTTTAAGACATTTATTTTAAAATTTATGTTTATATTTTTATTAACATTATGTTTAATATTTTTTTTGAATTTTTTGCATTTTTAAAATATTTTTGGCATTTTTTTGAAATTTCTAACTTTTTTTTTGACTTTTAGGTTTTTTTGTAGTTTTGCACCTTTCTTAAAAATGCGTGCGCCTTGCCTTGCGCCTTGCGCTTTTAAAACACAGAGTCCAATAATGTGGGTGAAATATTTCATTGTGAAAGAAATATGGAGCAAGCCCATCCCACCCAAAAAGAAGGCCAAACAAATGTTTATTGCCCCACATATGCTTCCTATGCCTTGCAAGTGGTGAATCCTTATCTCATCTATTGCCATCTTGCCCTTTTGTGCTTTTGTTTGGGACCTCTGTTCTCTTTTTGGATGCAAGTGGACCTCTCCGCAGGATGTAGTGAGCTTTTTCAGCCCAAGTTTCCTAAAGCAACCCACAAAGAGAGGAAGAATGATGTGGAAAGCAATTCGGGCTGCAGTTGTGTGGATTGTTTGGGAGGAAAGGAAAGGGAGAATTTTTAATGAAAAATATAGATCAAAAGAGGAAATGGTTGATGTGATAAAAATCAGAGCAGCACATTGGAAAAGACACTTGACCTATTCAAAAATTTTTTAGTGAATGATGTACTGAGGACATGGACTGAAGTGGAAAAGCAATTCGTTATGGAGTGGAGGCCAGTAGGTCACCAATGGCTAACAAAATAAAATAAAATTTCGATGGAAGCTCCATGGGAAGCACAGGAATGGTAGGTATTGGAGGAGTATTTAGAGACTGCACAGGGAAGGTTTTGGCTATGTTTTCAGGACCTTTGGTGCTGGGAGATTCACTGAAGGCTGAGCTGATGGCATTACTACAAGGATTATGAGTTTCCAAGCAATCAAATTTTCAGCAATTGGAAGTAGAGGGAGATTCAAAGATATTATTGGTCCAAGTTATTGAAGTGATGCTAAAAAAGCCATTACCCAATTTGCTTTGTCTGACTGAATCATAACTCATAAGAATTTCCTAGCATGTCATATTGAATTTTGAATTACACCATTTCATTGAAACGGATAGAACCACTTTTTAGCCTATTTATGTTCTATGAGTGTATTAAATGTGGAATAAATTTCACTTGGTCCTCCCTGTATCTACATTAAAAGAGACTTTTGCTTTCTCTTGCTTGTTCATTTGTTTTTTGTTGTTGTTCTTGGTGTTCCTTTTCTTTTTTTTTTCCTGTTCCTTTTCTAATTAACAAGATAGGAAGCTCAAGAAAAAGAGGAGTGATTAGGGATCTGTTGAGAAGAGAAAAACCAGATATTGTGCTGATTCAAGAATCTTTGTCTGAGTAAAATAGGAGTTGGGTTAGAAGTATATGGTCAGGGAGAGACATAAGTTGGGCATACGCACAATCTTGGGGAGCTTCAGGGGGAATTATAACTTTGTGGAAAAATGCAGAGATTGGAATTATAACTTCAGGGGGAATTAATTGGGAAGTATTCAGTGTCCCAAGGTTTTAAAAACTGACCCGGAAACGGAACCGTTCTGGCCACCTGTTTTTGGGTCAGCGGTTCGACTGTCCGGGTCAAGCGGTTCGAACGGTTTGAACATCTTACCCATTAGATTGGAATATTAGGGTAAGATGCATACTATATAAAAGAAAACAAGGGTTGAAACTTGAAAGAAAACTGTTGGCTGAACTGAAAGAGTTTAGAAGAGAAGAAGAAGAAGAAGAAGAAGAAGAAGAAGAGGAGGAGGTGGACTTGCAGGTTTGCAGCAGCGACGGCGATGGCGAACTACAGCGGCAACAACGGCAGCGTTCTCAGTCTCAGATCTCACTCTCTCTCTCACCTTCTCGTGCGAGAAAGACAGATCTGAGATTTCTCAAACTCTCACTTCAAAATTCAGGCCTTCACCTTTGCTATGATCTTATAAAGACTATTCACCAAGCTGATCGGTCTGAAATCTCTTGGGTGAATGGCTTCTTTCTTCTTGAGAATTAAGGCCACAAAGGTGGAGTTCAAGCTAGGATTAATTATTCCCCTTATATAGAATTCCTCAAAGACTCCCAAGATGTCCTCCTTCAGTATATCCCAACAATCCTGATAAAAGGCCATTGTAAATCCATCTGGGCCTGGAGCTTTGGAGCGATCCATAGAGAAAACTGCCTCTTGGATTTCTTCCAATTCAAACTTTCTTTCTAACCAAACTCTCACTTCAAAATTCAGCCTAGGTCACTCCAACCCTTCAATCCACTCTCGCATTCAGAGGCTTCCTGAAAATTGATCTGAAATGATTTGGAAAAACCTCTGCTATTTCATTTTGATGATCTAAGGCAACACCCTCCACCTCTAGCTTGGAAACAAAATTTTTACTTCTCCCATTTGCTAGGGCATGGAAGAATTTTGTGTTCCTATCACCCTCCTTGATCCACTTACACCTCGATTTTTGTTTCCAACTAATCTCCTCTTTGAATAAGATATCCTCCAGCTGCTTTCTTAAATTCCATCTTTGTTCCCTATCTCTTTCCTCTAGACTCCCATCTTCCTCTTTTTGATTAATCTCTTCAATTTGGTCCACAAGAGTATTCTTCCTCTCTTCTATCCTCCCAAACTCTACCAGATGAAACTAAAATTTTTATGGGAAAATGCCCTTGATGGTCATTCACATTCTGCTTTCAAGGTAGAGTAAAAGTGATACGTGTTAGCATGTTTATGACCTGGCCAAGTTAGAGCTATCTTTTGTCATGAAAGTTTCTTTTCTGAACCTCCAGTTGCGTCATGGTCCATTCTGGTTTCAAGTCAGAGCAAAGTTGATGCATGTCAGCATGTGTATGACCTGGCCAAGCGACTGCCATAATTTGTCATAAAGCTCTTCCATTGAATCTCCAGTTGTGTCATGGTTCTATTATTATTATTTTTTTTTTTATGAATGATGGCTCTATCATGTTTGTTATGAGGCTGATGTTTTATCTAATTATGGAATGCAAGGTGATATCCTGAAATATTAAATATTGAGAGGCAAAACTACAGGTTTGGGGTTGGGTTGGGTGGTGAATCACATTCAATCTTTCCTGTTTTTATTGTTATTGTATTATTATTTTTTTGTTGTGTTCTTTCCCACCTAATGGAAAGTATAGTGCTTTGTTGATCTTGTTAGTGACCGCTTATAGGGATACTTCTACCTATCTTATTTCTTAATTAATTAAGTTGCCAATCCCCAAAAAGGAAAGAAAATCTTGTAGAAGTATAATTGGTTTTCCTTCAAGCACCTTATGTTAATATAGGAAAATATGTTTCCTACTGATGTGCTAGCAGGTAGAAGAATTATATTCATTAGACCTGGATTCTCTCTGCAATCTTCGGTTAGTTCTCTCTCTGTGTGTGCGCGCGTGTGTGTGTGCATGTTTGTGTGTAAGAGTTGCTGATCTTGTCACATTTACAGGCCAGTGTATGGGTTGATATTCCTTTTCAAATGGCGTCCCGGAGAAAAGGACGATCGCCTTGTAATTAAGGATCCAAACCCAAATTTATTTTTTGCAAGCCAGGTTAGTTTAAATAAAAATGATATTTTTCTGAGCATTTACCTACAAGTGTTCATGACGAAGTGTTGTTCTTGCAGGTTATTAATAATGCATGTGCAACCCAAGCAATTCTCTCCATTCTTATGAATTGTCCGGACATTGACATTGGGCCAGAACTGTCAATGTTGAAGGAGTTCACAAAGAACTTTCCACCTGAACTAAAAGGCTTGGCAATCAACAATAGTGAAGCCATACGTACAGCACACAATAGCTTTGCAAGACCTGAGCCTTTCGTACCGGATGAGCAAAAGGTTGCAAGCAAGGATGATGATGTATACCATTTTATAAGCTATTTGCCCGTTGATGGTGTTCTGTATGAGCTTGATGGATTGAAGGAGGGACCCATTAGCCTTGGACAGTGCCCTGGTGGATCAGGTGATATGGACTGGTTGCGAATGGTGCAGCCAGTGATCCAGGAACGCATTGAAAGGTACTCTAGAAGTGAGATAAGATTCAACCTTATGGCAATTATCAAGAATAGGAAGGAGATGTACACTGCTGAACTCAAGGATCTCCAAAGAAAGAGGGAACGTCTCTTGCAGCAGCTTGCTGCTGCACAGTCGGACAGAATGGGGGATAATAGTAATATTGAAGCACTAAACAAATCACTTGCAGAAGTGAATTCTGGGATTGAGGGTGCAACCGAGAAGATACTAATGGAGGAGGAGAAATTCAAGAAACGGAGAACAGAAAATATTCGTCGAAAACACAACTACATACCATTTTTGTTCAACTTCCTCAAGATTCTTGCAGAAAAGAGGCAGCTCAAGCCTTTGATTGAGAAAGCCAAACAGAAAGCATGCAGCACCCCTAAGTGAAGGGTCCCTTCCGTTCTGTTGGCTGTGGGACCCTGGTGAAAGTCCGGTAGTTAATGCAAAAATTTAATTCTTTTGTAGCCTTTGTTATGTCTATATTTTCTGAGATAAGGAACGCTTGTTCTATTTGAGAAAATGCTTAATCCTTGATGATCAATGCCATTTCATCTTTCAAGTTTGAACAAGTTCAAAGGCTCCGCTCGGTAACCATAAAGATCGGCTTGTTTTTCATAATGGTATTAACTAATTCTTCACAATATAGAGTTATTGGTCCATATGGTAGACACCCTGTAGGCTGTGGTAACTGTTACTATTTTTTTTCCGTCAAAATTTGTAATCGATAGTTTGATACAATTACTCGACAGCCCATCGGCCCAACTCATTTTCGTGCCTCACGGCCCTCACCCAAAGCCCAGCATCATGCATGGAGATATCGACGTCAGTACGTCGATTACATGGATCCCAACATGCAGACTTAGACCTATCATCGTCAGACCATAATACCTAGTTAGTGTAGTCTATTAACAATATTAAACAATTATATGTGTGCAATTAAATGATAACGATATAAGTTGATAAATTGAATTTAACTTTTGACCGACATCAAAATCAATGCAAGTATCAGCTAAGTAGCTGTACTGATCCGTTATTCCTATCATCCCTAGAATCATAATCATTTTGCTACCTTTTTCTTTACTCAAGGTTTTGAAAATCAGACCGAACTGGACGGTCAGACCAGAAAACACAGAAATTGGTTAGGTAACTGGTTACGTTTCACCCTAAAGCCGTTTTTTAGCGAAAAATCATTGATTTAGTCAATGATCTATTGATTTGAGTGGTTGAACCGTCGATCTGAATAATGGTTTTGAATCATTTTTTTGTTTATTTTTATTTTTCCAAGTCAGAACATGCCATTTGTTTGAACCAGTCAGTCAGACCACTCGACCGGGAACCGGTCCTCAAAACAGTTCTATGTCTGGTTCGATTTTAAAAAACTTACTTTTATTTCTTTGAGTAGTGCGCAGAATTATAGCTGGAAGACGATCAAAAGCCGCCTCTCATCGCTGGGAAGAAGCTGATAACAGTATTCAAGTGTGGACACAGGTTAAGATTCAAAAGGCGCCTATGGTGGGTCTAAGTAACGAATGCTTTAGTCACCCTATTTTGCCTGAGTGATTAATATATCTCTAATGTGGCCACGGTGGGATTTCTGCAAGTGGCAGACTCAACAGGTTTAAAGTGGTACATGAAAAATCACCGAGTTCCCAAAAGAAAACAAAACACTTGATCCATCCAAGCATAGTTTTCGCACTGGGTTTTTCGCCCAACCAACAAACTGAGGGAAAAATCAGAAAAAGCAAACTTCGTTTTCAGTATCTACAAATTTCTTGGGCGAGAAACAAGTCAACATCCCATAAATTTATGGGGGTCGATATTGTGACCTGTTTCTTTCTTCATTGATCTTGTTTTAGATGACAGATATGTAGACATTTTCTCTATGCTAAAGTGCAGAGATGGCAGGGAAACCAAAGCCAAGTAGCCAACAACCCCCTCAATACCTTCCTGATTCTCGTACGAAGGACTGTCAATGGACCGGATATTGGTCCAACCCAAGCCGGTTCAATATGAGTTCATTATAGATAGACCAGGTCTAATCCAGCTTGTCTTATTGGACTGTCTAATCCGTTCAAATTAACTTTGATTTGGGCAGATCCAATCCAAACCTGTTCCATTGACACCCCTACTTGTACCCAATCATGGACTTCACAATGCCAGGCACTATTAGCCCATACTGATGAAATATTTAACGGGAACTGTTGGCACAAAGAGAGCCCAGCAAAGGCGCTGATGACACATAATGACTTCCACATATAGAGGTACTAAACAATATGTAACACAACACTAACACGACGTGAAATCCATTTCTACACAAGAAATCATCATCATCATCCAGGCCTATCCCAACTATACGGGATTAGTTACATGAATCTTTTTTCATAATTCCGCTGTTTGATGCAATATCGATGGATAAATTATGGATATTTAAATCATTTCCTACTATTTTGACCCATGAGAAATCTTTTCCTCATTTTTATTGTGAGGAAGGTAAATGGGTATGATTTTAGTTTAAGAAGGTTGGTAGGGATTAACCTTGATGAATGACTACTGTTTATTAGAGCTTTAAGAAATGAGTTTGCTTCAACGAGAAATGGACTTTGATTGGATTATAAATTTTGTACCCATTCTTTGAGCTACTACACTACTCTTTTAACACTTGCCTTGCAAAGGTTGATTATTTACGCGACCAATCTAGACACAAATCACTCAAAAGGCAGAATCCTGTAATAAAAATGAAAAAAAAAAGGATATTTTCAGCTCTTGGCTTGTCATATTGTATACAAACTTTATGAAGTGGAACATCATAAATGATTTGGTATCACCCAACAGTTCCATTCTTGAAAATTGTTAATATGAGGTTGTAAAGAATCACTCAAGCACCTTCTTGAGGATAGCTACGGCCTACGGGTGAAGCTAACGATGCTTCCCTCAAGCTCCAAAGATGGTTGCTATGGCAACATACTTTCCATTGGTATCAAAACAGAGACGCCCTGCTCCTGCTTCGTCCTTGGGCTTAGTTGCATCGTCAAAGATTCAAAGTAAACATGGGGATCGTCACTATTTATGTACCTGCATGACATTGAATCATTGATTGATATGCCCTTCATCCATACCTCCTGGTTATGTAGTACGTTAATTTGGTTCTGAGCTTGCCTCAGTAGAAATCTTTCAGTCTCTTATCAACCCTGATGTGTCAACTTGGTCATTTAGACGGAGTCATGAAGTTTGATGATTAGAGGGGAAATACTATCTCCACGACTGTTCATTCTATGTGATGCCATACAGACTTCTGAAGTCTACTAAACAGACATTAAGCAATAGAAACAAAATTTTCTTAACATGATTCTATTTTCTGAGGCTTCTCTTCCTGATTTCCTATGTGTTATGGTTATCTGCAGCGGTGGTTAATTTCTACGAGTTCTTAGAATAAACAATAGGAGTGAGATAAAAAAACAATAATAAAAGCGTCAGAAAATATTCAACAATAATTATTAAAGGTGGATGAATACATGGTGGTGAAAACCTTATTAAGGTGATCAAATTGATAAATCACAAAGGAATTACAAAAAGTTTCATAACACTTGTTTATGTAAATGGTGGGAGAATATAAAAGCAAAAATCTCAAAAACTAGACCTTTAGAAGAAAGCTGAAGACATGACCATGGAAATGATAACAAATTTGGGACATAAATCCTGTATTATCCACCAGAACTTAGATAAATAAATTTACTTGAGGAGAACCGTAGTTTTACTTTCCTTGGTTCGGAATAGTAACTTTGTAAGAAAATCTTCCATTATCAGTTGGAAATGGGAAAGACCTGATTTTTCTCTTTGCATATTCAATACTGTCATTTCCACCTGTCCTAGCCTCAAAGTTAGGCAGGATATTGTTCAGGACACTAAGACCTGAAATACCTGTCTCCTACTTGTCATCCCCATAGCTTTATTGGATATGGATGATATACTCTGTTAGAGAAAACTGGATTGTGCATTTTCATAGTAGAACATATGGGATGACAATTGTTATATAAATCTGGGCTGAAAGTTTGCCAAATGCAAGTATACTGTATAAAATTCAATTGTTTCTATGGTTTATTCTGCTGGAAATCTTCAAATTAAAAAGCAACTTAAGTCACTTGATATGAGATTACATAGCAAGCCTTTGTACCATTTCGATTGAACATCAAGATCCTATCCATCCACTGTGATTTGGCTCAACATGTGGAAACTGCCAGAGTGAACCTACTTATCTCCAGTAAGCAAGCATGTTATTGTAGATGCGTAATTGATTATTAACTCATAAAAACTATATTATTGAAGAAGAAACTGTAATTTTTCCTTTGAGAAGCAAAGAAACTAATTAATTAATATATCCGAACTTGGTTCTTTAATAAGGCAACTATTCCCACCCTGCGTCAACTAAACAAAAATGGTATAGGTTGTTTTTTAATTAATTACGTGTTCTCTTGGATGATTTGGGATTAAGAACGAATTCAATGTAATAAGATGTGTTCATAATTAATTTTTTGGTTAAGCTGAAGGACAAAAACACAGTATTTACACATGAAGTAGATGCTAGAGAAGGATTATTACTAGATAGTGTGAACGAAATCAAGTATTATTTATTATTAGAAGAAAATTCAAACCGTTGATTACACACAAAAAGGTATGGTTTTTAAAAACGAACCGGTGACTGAACCGGTTAGGGGTCCGGTTACCGGTTCAAACGGTCTGACCGTTTAACCCAAACAGCCAGCCCATTCTGACAAAAAAGTAAAAAAATTTTAAGAAAAATTAAAAATTGGAAAACGGTTAAAACCGTTCGAATGGTTAACCGGTCAATTCAGCGGTTTGCTGATCAGAGAAAAAACGATTTTGGAGGAAAGCGAAACCGATCAAGTGACCGGTTCCCGGTTTTTCCGGTCCTGTCCGGTTTTGAAAACAGTGCAAAAAGGAGTTGCAAATCTATTATACTAATAGATATTACTACCAAACTAATTAAATCTAAATTTTTTGAAGCCAACATAAAATCTATGACAGTTACAGAACTTCTTAGTTTGGGCCTGCCACAGGCCATGATACCTAGATACCTGCACAAAGATGCCTGATTGGGGTTCGGCTTCAGACAAAGTTTTATATGTTCGAACACCATTCGAAAATTACGTGCAAGGATACTATATACGTGCAAGGATGACAAACGGACGTTTACCACTCTCCAGTCTCCACCCAAATCAACCCACCGAACCCCTGTTCTGCTATCCTCTCCAACCGGCGAAGAGAAAAGGCATCACCAGTAAAATCTTCTTCCGGCAACCGGCAACATAGAGCAGGTAAATCTTCCTTCTTCTTTGCTTCTCTAAAACACAGTCTTCTCCCATGAAAAGCCTGACCCTTACTGTTGATGATGGCAGTGATATTCCGCCAGCGACGAACGATTTCATCTGCAACTGATCCGCCAGCAGCCGGCGATAAATCTTGGGTAATAACTAGGCCAGCAGCAGTTCCTGATTTACCATGAAAAATCATAGAAAATTTTATTACCAAAAGAAAAATGGAAATATCTCCCAACACAACATTACCTCTCAGACAGCCAGAGAGGGGTCCGTGCCCATGAAACAGGGACAACATCGATTTCAGTGGGAGCAGGGGCGGCAAAATCAACTTAATAAACCTTAATTTCTTTTTCCTCAGGTTCACCCCTTCCCACTATACTTTCCTCTCACTCATTCCCACACCCATTCAAGCATAACAACGAGTGCCTTCTCTCTCCTTCTCTCCTCCCCTCCCTTCTTTCCCAGCTCTTGTAAACTTATTGTTTTCGAGCTCTTGACCTCGTTACGGCATGGGGAAGGACGTTGAGGTTGTTGAACATGGCCATTTCTCCGCCAAGGACTACCACGACCCACCTCCGGTGCCTATGATCGATGCCGTGGAATTGACCAAGTGGTCCTTCTACAGGGCTCTCATCGCTGAATTCATTGCCACTCTTTTGTTTCTCTACGTTACTGTGTTGACGGTCGTCGGTTACAAAAGCCAGACTGACCAGGCCCACAACGGGGGTGATCGTGACGGAGTTGGCATCCTTGGCATCGCTTGGACTTTTGGAGAAGTAAAGAAGAAGGGTCAGGCTTGGACATTTGGTGGCATCACTGGCGGATTAGTTGCAGATGAAGCCAATATCACTGTCATCAACAATAAGGGTCAGACTTTTCATGGCAGAAGACTGTGTTTTAGAGATTTTTTTTCTGAGATAGGGTAAAGAAAATTTCATTAATAAACAAAAACAGATGGCCCCTGTACAACAAGAGGCTGTACAAAGGGAATGTACAGAAAGATACATCATTGAACCCTATACCATCACCCCATGGCCATTAACAAAAGAATTTTTGGATACGAAAAAAAAAACGACTTATAATCCCTTAAATAATTTGTGTAGATTAACACAAGAATACCATTTTCCAACTATCTTTAAGTATACTCAACTGCTCTTTCTTTTAAAGATTATATTGCTTCTTTCTTGTTAAGTATACTCAACTGCTGATATTGTGTTTAAAAGAATTTTTCCTTCTTGTTCAAGCCTTTCAGCCTCCACCCCAGAAACCCTCGTTTGATTCGTGCATACAGCCTTTGACTGCAAAAAGCTTCATGACTCTGGACCAAATTGAGTAAGAGGAATTCCAATGAAGTAAAATATGATCAGCCGACTCTATGTGCTTTCGACAAAGCTTACATTCAGCTCTGTCCACCACCATCCCCTCTTTATCAGGTTGTCTCTTATTAATATCTTATTCAGGTAGGATGCCCAAACAAAGAAAGCCACTTTTGGAGGCACAGCCTTGCCCCAGACAACACCAGCAGGAAGATCATTACCCTTCTTTCTTTGTCATATGGTTGTAAAATAAAAGGACTTAATAGAAAACTGTCCAGAGCTCTCCCAGTTTCATACTCTTTTTGATGAGTAAGCAGAAAAACTTTTATTAAAAACAAAAACAGGTTCAAGCTGTTCAGGTGTCAAGATAACACCTTAAATCAAAGCAAACATACATCAGAATGTTCAGTTCAGATTGAACTGATTCGCATTACAAGTTTGAATCTCTAAAATGTCCCAGAAATTCTCAGCACAGTCTGAGGGACTGATTTGCTCAAATTCTGGAAGATGACCCAGCTAGTGATGAGTTTGCCAACTGAAGCCACAATCTCTTCGGTGCTTCTTTCTTTTCCTTCAAAAAGTCTCCTATTTCTTTCCCCCTACAGATACCAGCAAACTGCAAAGGGAATGCAGCTCCATGCAATTTTAGCTTTCAAACTTCCTCTAAACTTTGGCCAAGTAGAAAGGATCTCTGCTGGTGATGATGGTTGAAAGCAAGGATTAAAGAATCAGTATCGTATATCGAATCGGACAGCTTGGATATGGATACAGATACAGATACACTTTAGAAACGCATGGATATGGACAAAAAATATGGATATACTAGGGAAACACATAAAAAATTTAGAATACATTAATAATATTAAATTTAAGGTCAACTAACCATAAATAATATATAAATACATAGAAAATATGTATTTTAATGGTGTATATGAAAAAAAAAATATTACATTGAATACAATATGATGTATAGATATCATACAATTTTATTGATAATGTATCAATCAAGAGTCCAAAATGCAAAACATATTTTTTTATTATATTTTAATTATTATATCAATTGTTTTCAATTTTATTATTTTTACTTTTTTACATTAATAAAGAGATCAAGCAAATATTAAGTTCTCCATGTAAATTAAAATATCCATTAATAATTTATAAAATGTATAATCTCAACTTAAAATATATCAAATCTATTAAAATTTCTAAGATACATATCATATGCAAATTCATAATTTTTTAATTTTTAAAATGATTATTCCATTATTACATTTTCATTCCTATAATTTTCTAATTAAAAATCTTTTTTTTTGTATAAATGTAGATTAGTAGATTTGATAGATTCAATTTAAGATTATATTCTTGAATATTTTGTAAACATTTTTTTTATTTTCTAAATAATAAATAGGATTTTATGTAATGTAAATTAATATATATATATATAT